TTTCGCCTCATTTTTGATTTCCTGTATTGTACCCATTGTATTGACAAAATCAAAGAGATTCTTTAGTTGTGAATTAGCTATGCGTGATATATCTGCAAGCCAATGTTCGAATGTGAGTTGCACTTGTGATTTATCAAGTTGCAGTACTTCATATTTAGGACGAAAGTTTGCTATTATATCAGGTACCAAATAGGAAAGCTGTAAATCATTACTATCCATAAGGGCTATTGTTGGTGGAGCATTTGCATCGGTATGTTCAGCAAGTTTACTAGAGAGCAGGCCATTGTCTGTTAGCAGCAAAAAATATGCTATTAAAAGTGAATAAATTTTATAATTTCACAATACTTACCCATAAAACATGTGCGTATGAGTTCAATGCTATTATTTAATATTTTCAAACTAGCTAATATACGTGCTCTTACACGTCTGTTGTGTGCATCTACGTTTGATCCGTCACTCAAACAATTTAAATAAGCTGCACAGCGTAGTTGTAAAAATATTTTAAATACTCCATTTAAATTATTTTTTTCCAATAACAATAAACTTAGCAAACACTCGACGGCAACTTCAGCACTTAATTCTTCACGTTCCAACATATTTATAACGTTTTGTTTTATGGTAACGTGGAATGGTTTAAGTATTTCCCACTGTTTCTTCGCTATTGGGAATTGTTTCATTAATGTGTTGTGAACGTCCAGTTGAAGACCAGTGCTTATATGCCGACTAAACACGAATAACTCTGTAGCTGTGTAAAATCGTTCATCATCAATATGTGACCATATCAGTTCAGGCAATGATGTTAATAAGTTTATTTGCACCATTGTACTGAAATAATTGTTAAGTTGTTTGTTAGTGTTGCGATTTTGTAGCAAATCCGATGTATCGCTTGTTTGGAAGCCTATTAGTTGCTGTTCATTAAGTTTCTGACAATTTTCCGAAATACCAATCACTTGCTGTATAAGCTTGCTAGAGGAATCCTGCATAGAGGTAATTGTGTCCGCTGCTTTAAGAAGATCTCTGTAGCTCTCACTGTTTACAAATATAAGTATATTTATATTAATTACTGTCTTACTTATAAAACTATTACATTAACACTCACCCAACCATAGTGCGTAATTCCTCGCGTTTACTTTCAATCACAGTTTGTATCCTTCTATGGACAATTTCTATATCTGGTATACTGTGTTGTTCGAAAAGTGTGTCCACATTTAAATCCGTTAAATTTACATTAGCCATGTTAACTACTATTTTATAAACCACAATGAAAATTACAAAACACAAAATCGGCAAAGTTTGTTTAGACACGTATTTGACAGTCAGCTGTATGGCCAGTGGCCACGAAGATGTGAATGAACTGGCAATGGAGAGGTATGATTTGGCATTTAGACTGCCAAATCAAAATATTTCAAATCTGACAGTTACAAATAAAATACTAGCAGCAGTAAACTATATCGATGAAAAGAATAATATATATATAAGATAATATAATACTTATCAAATAGTTTAACTTTTTTAGAATTTCAATATAATTTGCAACGTTAATAAAAATTATTGAATAGAAAAAACATAGTTTGCCTGCCATATATTAAAAACTAAAAATAATATTTATTTTAATTGTTTTTGTTAGCAAAAATTTTAAACAATTAAAGACTCAATTAACGACTTTTAGAAATTGTTTTATTAAGGCAATCACAATGAATTATCTTATCACACGTGGCAGAGTACGTGGTCAAGTTATTGATGTACCCGATGGATTACCGGAATTGTTGTCTGATATAACGCGCGAAGTCTTACGCTGTCAACCGACTACAGAATGTCTCTGTCAATTTATAATTGATTATTTAACGTCTGTTATCCGAACACGTGAAAAGGCGCACAGTAAGTTACAATTCTATATATTATTCTATTAGCTTCATTTAAAAAACCTTTATATTTACAGTTGCAAAAGCTATTATTGACCGTGCTTTACGTGAGGTCGATGAAATAATTGGCGATTTGTGCATTTGTGATATACCGGAAGATAAAGGTGAGAAGTTATGTTTAGCAATGGAGGATTGTTTCAAACGTTTCCTTGAAAAACAACGCTGTGAAAGAGGTCGAGAACGTGATGTGATTAAGTTTTATGACGATGATATGTTAGATGAGTTGATACGTCGTTGTAGATTTTCGGATGAGGAACTTAAGATATCACGACCTGTTATCGAAGATGCTTATAATCGTTTCGTGCAAGCGTATTTGAACGCATCAAAGGTGAGACTTGAACGTCATCTGTATTTAAATTGTATTTGAAATTTGTGCTTCTTTAATCAGAGTGCAGATGGATCTGACTTGTTATATCAATACTTTATGGCACGTGAAATAAAGCGCAGAGAAGAACTAAAGAGAGAAAAGGCCGCAATCGCTATACAGGTAATTTAAAAACAATATTTTCCAATTAGGCTTAGGACTCTAATCCAGTATCCTCAGTTTATGCTGAAATTCAATTTCCTGATATAATAAATAGAATATAAAAGCAATTATTGAAACTAACATTTTTGAAAATTTTGAACTGAGTTTAAGAAATTTTAGCGACATACATGCGGTTCTAGTACATATTTCTTTTTTGCAATTAATCTGATTCAGGTTTGGATAGTCTGATATACAAAGTTTTTATAGTTTATGTAGTTTTTATGGTAACTATAGTCCATATATTTTTGCAATGTACAAATATATATACGCAGTAAAAAGTATATAATTGCAAATGGTATATACTTTAATCTTATTGATTTAAAATGTGGGAATTGTTGTTTACGAATTATAGTTTTGGTTCTTATGGTTTACATAAATCTGGGACCTGTAGTTTTTTTTTGAAAGACCATATAGTTTTTTGAGTATTGTCTTAAGATTTTTGCTCTGTAATAATACTAATCGTACAGAGATCTTAAGAGATCTAATTTTTTTAAGCATCAACAGTAAACTTTGTTTTATTATTATTAATATTATTATCTATATTATAATTAGTGCCTTTTTTTATCAATTTTGGTAGGCCACATACCGAGGTTACAGGGTGCGCAAGCAAATAAAAGAAGAGTTATTATTACTTCAGGTAAGTTGATACATTTACGTTTTAATTTTTATATTATAATAATAAAAATTATATAAACTTATGCTCAATCGAAATGCATTTTTAGCGTCAAAAAGAAAGAGAGGAACAAGAAGCAGCTGCTAAAATCATACAAAGATTTTATCGTAGAAAATTCGGAAGACCAGTAAGTCAGAACTATTATACTCATATTAAGTATTAATTTTGTTCTAATAAATTCATTCATACATTTCATTTTATAGGATTATGAACCGGAGGAAATGGAGGTATTAATATTGTACTTTTCGTATATATAATTGCTGGAAAATATGAGTTTACTCATTCTTATTATGTAAACTGTTTTTAATTAATGTGTGCTAATTAATTTTCAGATGGAATCATCAATTATTTGCACGCCTTCTTCAGAAGTATCTTTAGGCACCAAGGTACATAACATAATATACTATATACTCCATATTTCAATATATAAAAATACTCATTATTGTTATATATTTTAGTTTGCTACGGTGCCAGTGACACCTCCAGAGTTGAAGGTATTTGTTATGTCTATAAGTAAATTTTAATTTGATATTTTTAATATATTCAATATAAATTAGGAAGGAGAGGAAGAACAGTTAGAAGACAAAGAGAAAACGGAACCAGAAGAAGAAAAGCCTGAATCTGAAATTATGCCATCACGTATTGGTGAAGTGAAAGACGAATTTGAAGAAAATAAGGCACAATTCCAACAAGAGCTACAAGCCCAAGCTCCTGAACCTATTGAAGAAAATGAGAATGTTAACGATGCACAACCTGTTGAGGTAATCGAAGAACCTCCAGCCGCAGAAGTTGCCGCTGGTGAACCTCCTGCCGCCCAGGAAGAAGCTCCTGCTGCACCAGACGCTCCTGCCCCAGAATAATAAGGTTGAGCAATTAATAATGAGCAATGGAAATGCAGAATTTTTTAAAACACCTATTTTTATTGGTTAATATTAAATGAATATATTTAATATATAATTTTTGCTATAATTCGGAATAAAAACTGAGTTGAAATTTAATGTGGATTTTTGAAGTTTTGAAGTACAAATATTTAAATCCAAGTTAAATATTTGTACTCTTTCTTAAATTTTTTTTTCATAGAATACATTTCGGTTATTTCAGTTTTATATATTTTAAAATATTTTATATGTGAGTATACGAGTAAGAGTACTCAAACCCAAACGCACATTTCACTCATAAAAAACTTCTTATTTTATGAACCGTAATATTAAATGTGTGGAATCATGGAGCGCAACGTATTTAAGTGACGTAGGGGGTGGCAAGTAGACAGAACTTTTTATAGTAAGTCCTGTCAAATACTGCACTATTTACATGATTACGCTTACATTTAGTTTTTTAAATAAATTTTTTTTTAAGATTATTTTTTTATTTTTTTTAAATAATGCTTTAAAGTATATATTGAATATATTGCTTTTAATGCTAACAAATACAACTCTGAAAATGATCAACCTGGGGTTTTTTTTATTAAAATTGTTTATAATAATTTTTATTATCGACCGACTTCAAGTGCTTGGGAAAAGAGAGTGAAGCAAGTATCGTGCTATAATTAAATTTTTTTAAATTTAAATATTATTTATTGAGAAATAAATCCGAGTTGAATGAAAAGGGATTATGAGGATTCTGTACGATAATATATAGTTGCAAAACGGTGGATAGCTGACTTGAAACATGGTCATACTAAATTTCGAAATGTAGACTGCCGATAAAAACATCAAAAAAGAGAAGAGCATAAATTAATTTAAAATGGCAAATGTTGTTGATGCTGGAGATGTTTAGCTTAATAGCATTTAGAAAATATTGTACAAAGATTTAGATATAAAAATCCTTTCGCGCGTATAGACCTCATTTGTTGATAATGGACCAAATATGTAATTTTTGCAGTATTTTTGCAGTTAAACCTTAAGTTTTTGAGATGACAAGGTTTTGTTGCAATTTTGTTTGCTTGAAAATTGTTTCGTTATAGGTGGAAAATCAATTTTTAAGACAGAAAAATTTCAGTTCATCTACACAATGATTTGATTTAAAACGAATATTTTTCTTTATATAAAAACCTTTCGAAGATCCTGTGTGTTTAATTAGCTGTAAATAAATTTCTAAACAATTTTGAGTTAGTAAAATAAAGAATAAAATGAGTTATGACATATGATCTAGAAGCTTGTAAGGATGGAAATTTACACTAAATTTCCACCTACATAAACGCTACATAAACATGCACTAAAAACAATAACAACACGAACTAAAACACATCAACACAACACAGTTTTTTATAAAACGACACACTTTTTATATGGTTATGTTCAAACTTGGAAAAGTAGACTCACTGGTAATAAATGTTGCAAATATCTGGAATTAAATAGATTAATTAATATTTAAAATATTTAGTCACAACCATTTACCAAAACCCAAACCGCTTACAAGCCTTAATAACATCTCAAACTAAGCTGAAATAATATTAAAATGAAATATAAAAATATAATTAAATAAATTAATAATAAACTCACCTTATTTATTTGTTAATTATATTTCTTGTTTTTATGTTGTAAATATTCATCAAATATTTGCACTTTTAATATTTTATTTATCGTAACAAACAAAGAGTAAATAAAAAAAACCACCACCGACCGAATGTAGTTTTAAAACACGTTTTGTAAGAATCAAAACAAAGCAGCGTTAACATAAGAAAACAACAAAAATATTCGCCGTAAGAGAAGCTTAAAGAGAAGATAAATACCCAAGCTGAGTACCGCACAAAACATGAAATAGAACATCAGAACGGCAAGAATAAACAAGAATTACGTGAGATCAGCTGTAAATAAAATGATACGCTACACAAAAGCTCGGTCGAGTGTGTATATAAGACGCGCATTTTACTTATGCGAACACTTTGGTTTATAATTTCAAAGGCACATACACCTTGGAAGACCAAGTCAACTAAGCTCTAGAGGCACAAAGGCATAATAACTATTAGGACACGACAGGTGGTTTAACGTCGACTGGGTCCAAAATAGTTAATAAAATTAAAATACATAAGGATATTTTATATGAAAAAAATATCGAATCAAGGTATAATAACTATTAGGACACGACAGGTGGTTTAACGTCGACTGGGTCCAAAATAGTTAATAAAATTAAAATACATAAGGATATTTTATATGAAAAAAATATCAAAATCAAAACATAATAATTATTAAGACACGACAGGTGGTTTAACGTCGACTGTGTCCAAAATAATTGCTAAAATCAAAATATATAAGGATATTTTATATAAAAAAATATCTTTCGGAAGGAATAATTACTAGATAATTATTAAGACACGACAGGTGGTATCACGTCGACTGTGTCCAAAGTAATTCTCTGTGATACACAAAGGAGACTGACTATAACGAAAATCTCCAAACGAAGGCATAATTGTACTTGAATACGACCGGAGGTCTCACACCAACAATAAGGTCAGAAGAATACAAAATCAGGGGCTTGAAGAAGGAAGATCTATCAAAAATATTCAAGGACTGACACTTCTCCAAGAATATCTTTATTTAATTATTAAATTTTTATCCTTTTGAAAAAAAACTACATATTTAAATTTTGTATATATATACATATATATTTATTTTATTTTTTTTTTCTGTGGAACAAAGTTAATTTGTTTTACTATACTAAATAAATATTTAAAATTTATGAACTCTGAATAAAGTATTAAGTAAATAAAGAAATTGAAATAAAATCACAGCGCTTTGAATATTTTGGTCACAATCTATAAATTTATTGTGACGACTTTGGTGAGACTGAGCATACCTCAGCAAATAGGCAACGACTGCGAGAAAGGGTCGTTACAGTTGGCGCCCGAGCAGGGACCAAAATATTCAAAGGTCGTTGAGATAGTGATGGAAATATAGTAGTCAAGCAAAGAAAATCTAAAAACTAGATGATATAAAATAGTAACATAAATCGAAAGAAGAAACAATGTCGGTGGGATCAAGAGGAATACCAGGGACTGAGAAAAGTTCAATAAATCCTCCAATGTGCTCCTATCGTCAGACAATTGAATACGTAGAGAAATGGTCCTTCCGATATCACGGTGGCAAGGACACATTAGATTTCATCGAACACATAGAAGAACTAGCAGACATGTACAACATCGATGTAAATCTAATTCCTCGAACAATGCCTCTACTCCTCGAAGGCGAAGCACTAGAATGGTTTCGCAATAACAATTGTCGTTGGTCACTTTGGACACGTTTCAAATTCGATTTCTTATCATTTTTTATTTCTGCTAGATATTTAGAAAACTTACAGGATGATGTAATATCCCGCCATCAAAAACCCAATGAGAATTTCAAAACATATTTAATTGACATCAAAAATCTTATGCGACGAGCCTGCACAAATCCAGATTCGCAATTAGAGCGAATATATCAAAACATGAGCCCAGACTACCGAATCTTTATCAGACGTCGAGATTTTTCAAGCTTAGAGCAATTAAAAATACTTGCTGATGACTTCGAAGAGCTTCGCAGAGAACAGCATAAAGTAAATCGGGGCGGTATACGAGGAGAAACTATGGGCAGGTGCATCGTAGTGGAGTCCCCAGAAACGATGTCATTGCAAAATACTATGAGATGCATACCCACTACACCAATACGGAATAAACTTATCCAGCATCATAAATCAGAGCTACCTATCTTGAACAAGCAACAGAACCGACCGGCGGCAAAGCAAACAACAGCAGTAAGAACTAGAATTACCAGTCCATCAACAGAATTATTACCTAAGCCAAGCATAATAACACAGCAGAAGCAACGTAAAAATTATTTAGAGCAGATGTCATGCAAATGTCTCGTACCATCGCAAGATCCAGGACCAAGCAAAGAAACTCCAGAAGTTTGTGATTTACATCAACAGGAACTCATACAAATGCAAGAGATACAACAGGTGCAAATTGAAGAAATACAGCGAAAACAAAATCCAAAACCTGTCAATAAAACTCCGGAAATACCTAAGCAACAGTCAGTCAGACAAGATCCACGAGTTTTACCAGTTCAACAACATGTCGAACAACTACAGCACGAACGGCAACGCGAGACGCCAAACAAAAGAAATCTAGAAAGAATTAACCTAGTCCAAGTCATACAAGATAAACCGACGTTTCAAATACCACCACCACAAAGACTCCAACATGTTACAACTACTGAAGAATATACACAGGTGCAAGAGGCACATTCACAACGAAATCCACCGCTTCAAGAAGAACAACTTAGGAGACCATCGACTAAATTAGTAAGAACATCGTTACTTTCCATACCTCAAGATCAAGTACACTCAGAGACGTCGCTAATACCGCGACAGGAAATGCCCGTCAAGCAATCAGATCAATGTCAACAGGAGATTAAAGTCATCGAAAATAAAACTACACAACATCGAATGACTCACAAAACCCCAAGTCCCATTCAAGAATCACAACAAGTTTCACATCAAGGAAAAGATAATTCTACTCAACTGAGAGAAAAAGTAAATATCCCTATGATGCAAATAAAAGAACAATGTCTCGGAAGTTGGAATTCTTCCAGCAATCGAACTCAGCAAAAGCAAATGGAAAGTCAAGGTGAACTCCAGCAGAGCGATCACGACTATATCAACACGCATCAAGACAAGTTTTACAAAGTGTTTAAATCTTCAAAGAAACGAAATAGAAATCACTCAAGCAGGTAGTGGGTCAGATCCAGTTAACTTTCCCGAAGAAGGAGGGAAATGTAAGGATGGAAATTTACACTAAATTTCCACCTACATAAACGCTACATAAACATGCACTAAAAACAATAACAACACGAACTAAAACACATCAACACAACACAGTTTTTTATAAAACGACACACTTTTTATATGGTTATGTTCAAACTTGGAAAAAGTAGACTCACTGGTAATAAATGTTGCAAATATCTGGAATTAAATAGGTTAATTAATATTTAAAATATTTAGTCACAACCATTTACCAAAACCC